CTAAAAAAAAAACCTTTCCTCCTCTAGGGAAGCTGTTCGTCACTGATCCAGTTCTAGCCTTCCACGTAGTCTTCGGCCCCTCCACGCCCTACCAGTTCCGGCTGTTCGGTCCCGGCAAATGGCAAGGGGCGAGAAAGGCCATCGTGGGACAATGGGACAGGATCTACGCACCGCTCAAGACGAGACCAATGAGCAAAGCCAACTTCATAGGAATCTTGGGAAACCCAGTCGCTCTATTGGGCTTGGTTATTCTGGTGACAGTTCTGCTCTTGGTGGTTTTTTAGTGGTTAGGTTACGGAACTCGTAACCGTGGGGTTGCGGGTTCAGAGTTCAGAGGTTCGAGGCTCTGGCCCGATGGTGTGTCCTTGGGAAAGGCGCTTTACACAAATTTTCCTCACTCCACCCAGGTGTACATGGGTACCCGGCCATAGACAGCGAAAGATCTTGTCAGTATGTTTGTGCTTTTGAGCCAGTAAACATGGCAGTGTGCACTGCGTGTATGCTTCTGCGAGCACCGCAAAACCTCTACTAAAACAAACAAAAAATCTCAACTTCCTGGGAAGCATACATACAAACGCACAAACATACTTTTGCGCCAGCAAACATGGCAGTTTTGATGCTATCAGGTCTGCTGGGATTACAATATAGATCGTAAAGCGCATAGAGCTTGTGTTGGGCGGACATTTCCTCTATACGAATGCTATTTATTTTTTATAATTTTCTAATAACCGTGATATTTATTTTAACAAAAATAAAAGCTTAGCTTGAATGAATGTATTGTATTATTATGTGAGTTTGATGAACTTCTCGACTTACAGACCCAGTGGTTCTTCAAATGGAGTTGCTGTTAGTCTTCTGACATTCCCTGGTGTCTCTTCGTAATTTTAAATATACATACACACTTGTTTATGTACGTGTGTGGTGTGTGTTTTAGCACTGTGCTAGCGCGCCGCGCGCGCGCGCGTGTGTGTGTGTTTGTATGTGTGTGTGAGTGTGTGTGTGTGGGGGGGGGGTGTTGGAGTGTCCGAATGTGTCTATCTGACTCTCTCGCTCATATGTATACATATAATTACATGTGTGTGTGTTTGTATGTGTGTGTTTGTATGTGTATATGTGTGTATTTGTGCGTTTGTATGATTATGAGTGCTACGAGTGCTCGTAAGAATGACGGTGAATCCTAACAAGACTTCAAAACAAGTCCTTTGGCTATCCAGTCATAGCTACCGGCCACGTCAGTCTAACACGGGCCCACGCTGTTGCAGCCTGTTATGCACATCTCGTTATCAGTTGCATAGAAGGTACAACATTTTTTATGCACATCTCGTTATCATCAGTTGCATAGAATGTACAACATTTCGTATGCACGTCCCGTTATCAGCTGCATAGAATGCACAATATATCTGTTGCTCAGTGGAATATTCTTCCATGCACCAATTCGAAAAGTGATGAATTGCAGCAGAGCCTTTCACTGAACAGTGAATGTGTTTACAGACTGTTGTGTACCCCATACGAAGAAAGTGTCACGTGACTTTACCACGCAATACCCAGTTTCGCGGACTGCTTTATTCCGATAGGCTGTCTCAGTCATTGTATGTGGATGAGGACGCAAAGGGGGGTCCCGAGGGGGGGGGGGGAGGGGAGGTGCATAGTGTGTTTTATTAACTCTGGTTCAGGCTTAGATGTCGGAAATACTCGTCTACTAACGTTGGTAGAGGTGGAAGCAACATGTATAAAGGAGGCACTGCTTGATCTAGCAAATGAATAAAAGTGTTGTTTGTTTGTTTGTTTGTTTTTGTTTTTTTGTTTTTATGATAATGATAAAAAAACGAAAAAAACAAAACAAAGGAAATTAACACAAAAAACATCCAAACAAACAAAACAAAACAATTCAAATTACTTTCTTGGAACAGAGAATGAAAAACTCATCTGCTAACCGCGCTGGAAATATGACCCCCAAAAAATAATATTGCTATTTTTTGTTTGGTTCGTAGCTATAGTAAAGGCGGTAAAGGCATGAGTGTAAAATAATATTTTCATTCTTGTAACATTGGTGAAAATGGGTGTTATAATATTTGTTCTACATTTTTTATTTTCTATTTATTTTTTATTTATTTTTTGTGTGTGGTGGAGGCATAGGCCTATATTTTGCTGTTTTAGCTTTTATAATAGTGTGGAAGTGTAAAGCAAGCAATCGGATCCTACTAACATATTCAAATGTTTTGTTTCACTAATCTGGGTTGGTGTATGAATATGATTAAAAGACATGAATTTTACTAACTTTGGTTAGGTTCAAATGTACAAAAAAGTATTATTCTTGTTAACTTTGGAAGAGGTATGAGATGCCAACATTCTGATTGTACTGGCTTTGTCATTGCAACGTAAGTTTGAGTTGTGTACAGAGGCTACGGGTCTGGAGTAGAAGTGAGAGATAATATATTTATTTATTTACTTCTCAGCACAAGCTTTGATAAAGAAAATGTTCGTCTTCTTGCAGAAATTTCTTTCCTTGGATGCTCTGTCAGTTGTGTGAATATGCTGGAAGAGACCAAGTAATGTTTGTACTATCTTTGACAGAAATGAAAATGAAAAAATACTGATATTCATTCTTTGATTGCTTTTCTTGTTCCGTGTTTCTTTTTTTCCTTTCGGGCGGGACAGAGAAACGAACCCCCGAACCTCCAGTCTCACGATTACGGGTCCGGTAGCCTAACGGCTAGACTTCTGACGTCGTCTTAGGAGTGCTAATGGGCGGGTCTAAAACATTTCCAATCATTACAAACAGCGTCACTTGAGAGATGTCAACACCCGGGGAGCGAGTTTTTGAGCGACTGTGAGATATTCCGATGCTGATCAAGTCAAGCAGAGGTCTCCATTGGGAACTTTTTTGAGCTACGACGCACGCCCGGTGTTTTCATTCTCTGTGTGGGGGCAACATGGGAGAGGGGGGGGGGGGGACGCCAAGTGTGAATACTTTTTAACTTATCGTAAGAAGCGAGACTTCAACTTGATCTTTTCCGAACTGTTGATCGATATCAACGTACGCCTAGGGTACAGTTATGATAAAAGCTTTTTACCATAAGCCAAACGTCATGAAAAACAAAATAAGCATCTTTGATTGAGTTGTTAGTGAGCACTACGTAACTTTGTAAATATGTTGGAGGAATTGGGAGCAGTTCAGATATTTAGGAAATGTTTTAATAAATTATGAATGTCAAAGACAAGCTTACTTTATAACACATGGTATTGGAGACCAACTGGAAAAAGAAAAGTGGGTGGTTGGCGGGTGCTCTGGTGTGGTTTGCTCCTTCTTTCCTATCAAACACCTATCATCCTTATCTCCCCTCCTCCTTTTTTGTGTTTGTTACTCTCTTGTAACACCTCTAGTCTTCGGCACTTATATGACCTTATTGTGTTGCAAGTGCCGTACAACTCTTACTAAAACTAAAGAAAAAGAAAACGAGGAAGATCAACTGCAATTTACAGAGGCACAATGATAGATGAGGCAATCACCGAAGTCTTCGATGTGCCATGATTGAAGGAGATGAGAAGTGTGGAGTCGACTGCTCTCTACCCTATGTACCTGGCGGTATGGGGAGACAGTAAGTAGTGGCGTCGGTAGCCTAGTGGTTAGGCTACCGGACTCGTAATCATGAGATTGCAGGTTCGGGGGTTCGAGCTTCAGCTCGGTCCGACGTTGTGTCCTTAGGAAAGGCACTTTGCACGAATTTCCAACTTGGCTCGGTCCTTTCCGAGACGGACATTAAACAAGGAGGCCCTGCCTCTTAATAATCTAGTAGTGTTGAAATGGGCGTTAAACCTATACCATTTCACCATTTCGACCGTAAGTAAATACATACACAATTTTCCAAGCAAGAAAGGGAGGTCAAATATTAATCATTTTATGGGTCATCACAAGACAGATCCATGAGCAAGATACATTGACCCATTAAGAAGGAAATACTCGAACCAAATGGGAAAATGGTGAACAAAGAACAACGTAGATCGATAACATCAAGGAATGAACTAGCCTAAGTATGGCTGAGTGTAATAACTGCAGCTAGCGACCGTAAGCTCTGGTGGGTCATTGCACGTCAACCTCTGAGCCAGAGATGACACCTCCAGGTATCCAGGTGGTAACCCTTGCTTAACAAAGAGGGATCCACTCGATTCGATCAACTGTTTGGAATAATCACGCATCTCTGAAACATTCTGAGAGAGAGGGAGAGAGAGAGAGAGAGAGAGAGAGACAGACAGACAGACAGACAGACAGACAGACAGACAGACAGACAGACAGACAGA